ATAAAAAAAAAGTAATTAACATTTTTATTAGAGAAAGATAGGTATATATATATATTTTGTATTAAAATTATTTAATTTGCATATTTCAAGGACGTCTTTATATAGCAGTGTAGATCAACAAGAGGATGAGATGTGAAAAAAATAATAAAAATAAAACAATGATAATGCGTTCTGATAGAAAATATTTTTTCGATCATACGTCATATACCGTAAATAAATTTACGCGAGTAATTTTATCTCTTTCTATTTCTCTTTTTTTTTTTTTTTACAGGCAATGCTTTTCCGGTTCTTCAACGTCGACTACTGAATAAATATTTATCTTATGGCTTGTTTATTCTTTGGCACCATACTCAAAGATAGATATTTTAGAAGTGTTGCTTCAATTTATATATTTCTAACTTATACATTACATGCATATATTGAAAGTATATTATTATTATTATTTTGTATCAATTAATTAATTTATCATTATTTTCTATTAATACTTTTGCCAGAAAATTTTCTTTATACTTTTTTTTTACTATTTATATATGTTACCAATAAAAAATATATTTTTAGTATTATTTTAACTCTAGTAATTTTACTAGTAAATATTTAATATTTTTACTAGTAATTATATCAATTTATTAATAGTCTTTATATTTATATATATAATATGTTTCGATAATTAAATATCAGATAGGATTTTCCGATTAAAAAAAAAAAAAAAATTAAATTAAGATATCAAGTTAATTAATTGAAATGAAAATATTGAAAATACCAATTGAATGTATTCATCGATCTAATAATAATGCGATAGAAAGTAACGTAATAGATTAAAATAATGTTCTAGGCTCGACAGGTAGCAAGTAACCGGACCTTTTCTCAACAGGCAACACAGCTCCGAACATAGCACGTTCATGAATCATGTTGTCGGACAACGCCTCAAAAAATAAAAAAAGAAAAAGAAAAAAAAGAAAAAAGATCCATCACTGACGTTTAATATACTCCTCCTAGAGTTCAACGTTCAATCAGGAGAACCGTTAATTATTCTTTTTTCTAATTATAAATTTCTATCTACCCAAAATGCACAAAATAATATTACTATGAAAAACTATCAATAATTTATTATATCATACGAATAAATTTTCAACAAAAATATCAAATAAAATTAAAGAAAAGAAAAGAAAAAAAAAAGGATATTCTAAAACATTAACAGAAGTTCAAAGGTCAACAATATATCCGGATTACAAATTCATGAAATTCAATGAACAACTTAATGATTCATCAGAAAAACGACATCTTTATAGCTAAGGCGTGTGTACAAAATGAAGTTGTATTTTATGAAGTAAAACCAGTTACGCGATAAGGGATAATTATAATAATTTTAGTAATTGAAATAATAATAATAATAATAATCATCATGAATATCCGTTTCTCTTGGTCGTTGAATTAACTTAGGAAGATAACTCATTTCAATCGTCAACGGAATATATACGCGATATAATATTAGATAATATATCTATCTGTATTCTTATCAGATTATTTTATCTAAAAGGAAACAGAATATTTTACTAAGGAAATAAATATTTCGTTTTGTAATTAATTTTCATAATGAATGTAATAATTAATTGACAATTATTATACATTAGAAATAATACAAATCTTAATCGAATGATTATAAATTTGAAATAATTTGAATGAAAAATATGAAACATGTTTTAACATTTATGTTTTAGTTTTACACTCAAACACAAAGAAACTTTGAACTCGAGTCAATATTTATCTATGCAAGTGTACACGAATCACAAAAGTATTCGTAACCTGTTTCCACTGTAAATTTAAAATAATTGATATTTACTTTTACAAGTATGCATTATTGCATTTTGCATTTACGTATAATACAAAGCGTAAATATGCATTTACACTTTGCATTATTGCACAAGTTTCATAATTCTTTTAAACATTAAATCTACTTTAGAAATGATTACATTATATATATAAATTGGATTACAGAAAAATATTTTTAATTATTAGAAAAATATAATCATTTTAAATACTATAATTCGAAATAATTTTTCTAATATGTATTCTAATGTTTGTTTTGTTTTTTTTTTGTCTATAAGAATTTGTAAATATCGTATTGCGATAAAATATTGGTACGAATACTTTTGGTAAGATTCACTGTATATATATTTATATATAAGTACTCACACGGTGGCTTTAAAAGTTGTGCACGGTGCACGCAGAAAGTCCGAAGATCGGCAACGATACTTGATTCGAAGGCCAACCACTCTCATTCTTGGTGGTGTATGCTGCCACGCTTCACAACCCACCCAAAGGGATAGAAACACAATCCTTACGGTAAAAACTACTACTTGCCCTTCGTCGATCCTTTCTTTCTTTCCTTTATCCTCATATTATATATTTTACTTTTTATATACATTTTTTTTTCTTACCGAACGAATTATTTCGAACACACAAAGGAAACTTCGAATAATGTGAAAGATAATAATACAATTCAACGCGAGTAATATATTTCATAATTAAAACAATTGTCTAAATAATATTGGCCCGTTAAATACCTGTGCAGGTGTATTCATTCGATTGGATTTATATCTTTCAATGTACTTCATATATTTTTCTTAATAATCGGGGTAGACTAGACGGGGGGATAAATTTATTAATTAAAATATAAATATTGCATAAAAAAAAGGAGAGGTATTACATTATATAAAGGTTTCCTCTTCGGTAGAAACAAAACAAAAAAAAGAAAAAGAAAGAAGATAATTATATGATTATTATTCATATATATTTAATACAAAAAAGAAAAGAAAACCCAGGTGTGTGTTCCGTTCAAGGACAATTTCCGGCCGCGAAGAAAAAAAAAAAGCAAAGAGAAAAATTGGCGTATTTAACGACAGGTGTCACGGTCTAAAAATACTCATTGTTTATGTTCTTTTCGCGTATAAAAGAAGGAAAAAAAAAGGTAATGAAGGAAAAGAAAAGGAAAGAGAAATATATGAAATAAGAGATAACGAAGAGAAAGGCAGATTTCCATTATCTCCCCCTCCCCCTCCTATCCCCCCCCACGATTTACTCCTACTCGTACTCCTACTCCTTCTTCTCCTTTTGCACCTCTTTCTCCTTAGTCCTGCATTTTGAACACGGCTGATCCGGTTTTAATTGTAATTCTCGTTGTTACGCTCGTTTATTTTCTATAGCGAGTATATAATTCGATGGTGTTAGAAAAAATAACTATGAAAAAAAAATAACTATAAGTGGAGGAAGCTCGAAACCGCGAGCATATACGATGATAATATCTGTTTACGGTGACCCGGAAATATATTCAAGGATCTCTCGGCTTATATGGTCAAATATAATAAATAATTAAAAAAAAAGAAAAAAGAAAATATATCTTTTCTCCTACTCTCGCATACAGAGTGTCCTAAAAAACTGTATTCGAATGCAAATCATTCCTACATATACGTGGTGGGGCCCATTCGTTATAGAATTCTTTCCATTGAAACGAATTACAACAAGGGGTTGAAAGTTGTTCCCTTTTTCAAATCTATTTAAAAGGACGATGCACCGTATACGTTCGTTATTCTTGTATTAAACGTCCAACTTTCTCACCGTATTCTTTTCTACAATCTATAACCGCGAGAACCACATCGAAGACAAATTTCTAATATTTAACAAGCTTACAGTTGTGAAAGTTCGGCCATACGTAAAACGTGAGAAATTGAAAAATAAATAATATCATTAATAATCATATTGCATAATGCAAGAACAAATGTGCTCGCATACGTCATATAATTATTCAACTAAAATTAAAACAATTATTTGACGGATAAAGAAAATTTCAAATAAACATTTTTTTTTTTTTAAAGTTGAAACACTTATAAATATAGTAAAGTGTTTTTTAAAAAAAAAGCCAATATGGTGGAACATTAACTTACGTTTTCGATATTCTTTGTCTCTCGAAACTCGTTCGTATTTCGTTCACAGGCGTTCACCTCCTCTTCTTCTTTTTCTTTTTCCGGCTCCTCCACCTCCTACGCCTCCTCCTCCACCACCACCGCCACCGCCACCACCACCTCCACCTCCACCTCCTCCTCCTCCTCCTCCTCCTTTCCAAACACTTTTCTGTACGGTGTCACGACACATTCGGGTCACAGAAGAACGACGCACATTGTGAGGTAGTATTCCTCTTTGGTCTCCTCATCTTCTCTCTCCTTATCTTCTTTTAGAATGTCGAACTCACTACTGCCGAACACCAAGTCCGAATAATAATAACTCTCAATTAAAAATTTGGATTTAAACATTTCAACACTCGCAGATTGTCACTTTTTTACTTTGAATTAAAATGAATTAGATGTGTTCTTTAATTTTTGACAGCACTATTTTAATCAATTTTCAATCGATCGTTTAATTCGAATTCGTTCATTGTCGCATTATTTATGTTAATTTTAATTTAATCCAATTTTACGGTGCACCGAATGAGAATAAAAATTTGTCACGGTTGACCTGCATTTTATTGTTTTTTAATATTCTTAATCGTTATTAGTGATCATCGATGATTATATTTGTTTTTAATATTGATTTGTTTATGATTAAATGTTAAGCGTTATTTATATTTTAAAATTTAATGGATTAATTAAACTTTAATTCACGGAGAGACGAAATCTCGCGTCCGTATTTCGAGACGACCTGCTGCAACTGGTTCCTAAGGAGTGGCGGCCCTTTCAAAAGTTCGTGAACTGATCGAGTTCGACGATCGCAGCGCCATCTGAGATGCTTACCCTTGCTCTTATGTCTACCGTACATCGACGTTCTTTTTTCTTCTTTTTTTCTTCTTCTTCTTTCTTCCTTTCTTTACCACCTCCACTTGTCTTCTCAAGTCAGACTTACAAAAAGAAAAAGAAAGAAATTCTTCTCTTATACGAATACTTGTCTCTCACATTTTTTTACATAAAAATGAAACTTCATTTTTTTGAAACATTCGAAAAATGGTGGGAAATTTCAACGTATAGTTATTGGTTTGTTTAAAAAAACAAAAGAGCGGGAAAATATATGAATTTTCAAATCTGTGACAATTAATCTCTTCGAAAAATAAATAATTGATCATTGGAATGTGAACTTTTTTGCAATAAATATTTGTTTAACAAAAAAAGATTTTCTATTTATGAAATATCAGGAAAATTCTCTATCAAACCTTCAAAGATTATTCTGTTTTTTTTAATCATGCTGAAATAATAAAGACAATTTCGTAATTGAACGCACACGTATATGTTAAATATCCTTGACAAGGTTAACGATTGCAGTGCCACCTTCGATTTCAAATAATTATATGAAAATGACGTTCAAATTAAAGGGCGCAAAAATAGAATATATTTGAATAACTTTTCAATTTAACATAGAAATCGTTGAAGAAAGAAGAGAAGAAACGACGAGATTGACCTTTCGAAAAGTTCACGAATCGAGTTGAATCAAACGAAGGGAAGTCTGGTCTGTGTATGTGTGTATGCGTGCGTGTATGTCTGCATATAAAGAAGGTCAAAATCCTCTCAACTCGTGCGTGTTTCAATATAATCGTCTAGTCTCAAATTATTTCAAATTAAAAAAACAAATCCAACAGAATATTTGATTTCAATTTATTTATAGAATATTTATTTATATTATTTTTCCTTTTAATATTCATAACAAGTAGATATTTTTTCTAATCAAGAGAATTAAAATAAAACGATCGAATAATAAATGATTATGGTGAAACGACGTCAACGCTATAAATCAGTCACTTTCAATACGCGACGATTTAAAAGTCCTCTAAATTATTATAAAATATCTATCATCTACACATACACACACTACTGTATGCCTATTTGATATTCAATAATTAAAACGACAATAAATAAATCTTTAAAATATATATACACGCGTAATTCCACAAAATAAAATTATAAATGTATAATCCTTGTTAAAATTATATCTTACGTTAATAAACGTTGTAAATACGCTTGCAACGACTAAACCTCATTGCAAATTAAATTTCTTGAATCGCCCTAAATGGACACTGAGTTTATTCCCTCCTCCTCCTCCTTCTTCTTCTTCTTCTTCTTTATCTTCTTAGTCTCTCCCCACCCGTTCTAACGTTTTTTATCATTCACTATACTTTCCCTTATCTTGGTCTTATTCGATATATAATCCTCTCTTTCAATAACTCAATCGATCTTCTAAACAAACATTTACCATAACAGAATACTAGAATATCAGAAGAGTATTCTTGGTACTCGTGAATGTGTGTGCCACGTAGGCGCCAGGAGAAACGAGTACCCGACGGTATCCGCGTAATGCACGCACTGAAGAAGAAAACGGACACGACCCTCCATGAGAGTAGAAAGAAAGAAAGAGAGAAAAGGAAAAAAAGAAAGATAGAGAGAGAGAGAGAGAGAGAGAGAGAGAGAGATGTTAGGTGCATTCACCGATTCCATTCCACCATACCGATCCTCGCGGTCTCCATAGAGTTGCATCGAAATCGGTTGAGAACCCTATCCCTATATCCAAGAGTGGGGGTAATCTTTCCAAGACTTTTCATATTCGCAAACAAACACTCAGCGAATCTATTCGATCACTGAGAAACGAATAAGGGCTTCCGACCCTTCGCAACGTTATTGTTTACTTTCCATACATGCGTCCAACAGACTGGAAAGTTCTAATCGATTTTGTACAAATATAACACCTTAAAACATCCTATGCAAAGGGTCTACTCATTTTTTACATTTTCCTCTTTTTTTTTTAGAAATTGAATATATATATATTTTTTTTTAAGAACAATTTGGAATTAATTGGAACATATGAAAATATTGTTCATTTCTTTTTATATAATTTATTCGAGCACCCCTTTAAATACCATGATTACTTTGTTGACACGCCACTGATGACTGCAGTGGAGTAAACGAGGCTCGTAGTATAAGAGCATAAGGAGAGTTTATGTTCAGGAGAGGGGATCAAATGGACGAGTAAGAAGAGAAAGGTGAATATGTTTATACGTGCTAAGATACACGTTTGAGAGGAAAAGAAAAAGAAAAAAGGAGCGGCGAAGGCGGACGAGTTTTAAATTGATCCCCAACAACTTCTGTTGCTTTTCTCGTTCTACTGTGTACGAAGTCTTTATGAGTCTAATGTGAAGACTGTTTCAGGGTATATGTGTATTCAATTATACAATAATTAATTAAAAATAAAATGTTTAGAATTTGTGATATCAAATGTATTATAATGTTAACTCTTTAAGTCTTCTTTCTAAGAGATCAGAATCCAAACGATGTTTACAAAGATATTGGCCTTCTAAAAACAGGACTGGTATTTCATATTGATATAGTTTTAAAAACACTTCGTTTCCCAAAGCCGTAATATCAACTTCTTCCAATTGATATCGACCAGCAAAACGTAAACGCAATTCTTCTTTTAAAATATCGCAAAGAGGACAAGGATGCTTTGTATAAAGCATTAATTTTGGCGGAGATGAAACCGAATGGTACCTAAGGAATAATAAATCTGTCTACCTATTTGTGAAACTATATTTTTACACAAATATTTTATAATAAATCATATCTTATTAAAATTGTACATTTATTTTCATATTATTAATATGATGTTTTTATATAAAATATTAATCTATAAAAATATCACTTGTGTATAAAAATAAAGTATTAGAAAATTTAATATGGAAGACTTTTGTATTATTCAATATTGATTAAATTGTTTTCCAAGCTTTTTGAATAACAAAAAGCTTTAAAAATTCACTTACAGTTTTTCTATTAAAACTGACGAAGCACCACCTCCACCGTTACAGATAGATGCAAGCCCTTTCTCTCCAGATTTTAATGCATGCACTAAGTGCACAATTATTCGAGCTCCTGACATACTAGAATTTTAAAAATACATGTAATAAGTTTATAATCTTTTATGATTTTATTTATCGCTTACCCTATTGGATGTCCAAGTGATACAGCACCACCATGTACATTTACTTTGGAAGGATCGATGTCAAGTAATCTTTGATTAGCCACTACAACGACACTGAATGCTTCATTAATTTCCCAAAGAGCTATGTCGTTTTTGTTTAATCCAGTATTTTTTAATAACTATAACGAACGATTAAATAAATACAATTTAATTTAAAACCTTAATACTTATAAAATAAATATTAATAAAAAAAGAAAACACCATACAATAGGGATAGCAAGTGTAGGCGCAATTGGAAAATCAATAGGATCTGTCGCAGCATCTTGGAAACCTACTATACGAGCCAAAGGTTTAAGATTTAATTTTTGTGCTACATCAGCAGTCGTTAAAATTAAAGCAGCAGCACCATCATTTAATGTCGACGCATTTCCAGCTGTTATCGTTCCATTTTCTTTCTATATTAGAAATATGAAAATATTTGTTGAAGATGATTTATTATATATATATATATAGGTATTTATTTATAAATCATTTAAATCTGATATTGAAATATTTACCTGGAAAACAGTATTTAATTTGTCAAATTTATCAAAATTCACTCTCTTGTACTCTTCATCTTCTGCAAAAGTAACATCGGGTTTACCTTTCTTCTGAGGTACATTGACCGGTACAAGTTCGTTGTTAAAAACTTTCTTCTCATAGGCTGCAGCACTACGCTTATAACTACTAATCGCATATTCATCTTGTTCTTGACGCGTAATTTTCAATTTTTTAGCAGTACTTTCAGCACAATTACCCATATGAAATTTATTATATACGTCTGTCAAACCATCGTATACAATTCCATCCTATAATTAAATACAAATACCATAAAATTTAAATTACAGTATTAAATATATTTATATTAAATGTTACCTCGAGTTTTACACCACCGTAACTGATTTCACCTCGTTTAAGATAAAACGGTACATTAGACATGGATTCCATTCCACCAGCAAGTATAATTTCTTGATGTCCACATTGCAATGATTGAGCAGCAAGCATAACGCTCTTCATACCGCTTGCACAAACTTTATTCACTGTTGTACAAATCGTTGATTTGGGTAGATCTAATTTTAATATTAAATTTATACAAATTACAAATGAACTTTTCATGATTCAAAAAATTGTAATAAAATTAATTAACAATAAACACACCGGCAAATAAAGTAGCTTGCCTGGCTGGAGCTTGACCAAGAAAAGCTTGGCAAACGTTGCCCATGTAGACTTCTTTAACTTGATCTTTCGCAATACCAGCACGTTCAATTGCTGCCTAATAAAAATAAAATTATAATTATTTCTATATACAAAGAAGATACTTTACCAAAAAACTTTACCAAAACTTTTGAAAAAACTTTGACGACAGAGGAAAAGAAGATTGATGAACGAAGTGAAACAATAAACAATGAAGGAACCAAAGTGTTATCATTTGATATGATAAATAATATATATAAACAATTGATTAATTATGAATTTAATTACCTGTATAGCAACCGCACCAAGTTTAGTTGCAGATAAATTAGAAAGCGATCCAAAAAATGAACCCACAGGAGTTCTCACTGCACTGACTATAACTACATCATTCAGTTTTACTTTGTTACTGTAGGAACGTAGATTATATATACTAACCTAAAAAAAGAATATCTCGTATTAATATCAAATAAATTATATTTTTACAACATATATATATATATACAATGAGATTTTTAAATAAAATTTATATAAATCAACTTACATTAGAAATTCTTGTTATTACATTCATTTTAAAAAACAACATTATTATAATTAATTAGATCATAGAGTTTATATACAAAGAGGCCGATCACCGTGTTATAAATGTGGATACAATATTCACAATGAAAGAATGATTTCTATTGCCACTAGAGAGCGCGTCTAGTCGCTTAGTCTGGTTTTTTAAAAACAGTAATTAAAACAAAAATATGAAATTTAACAATTGTTTTTTAAACAAACAAATTTAATTTGTTTATTTATAAAATCACACGTACTTAAATCTAAATTTAATTTAAATCTAAAATTAATTTAAATAAATCACCGCCGCCCTCGTGGATAATTATCGTACTCGATATTCAGTCATTTTCAACAACACAAATTCGACTAAAAAGCCTATCTCGATCGTCCTCCTTATATATAGCTTCGTTAATTAGATATTAATTACCAATAAAAATATTTACACACACCATTGCACATAAAAATATATTACTCATGATCATTAGGAAAACTAACAAGTAGTCAGTTGACCTATGTGAATCAATTATGAGCATTTTATTGGTTAAAATTATCGTTAATATCAATGATGTAGCATGATCTCGTATTATTTAATTTTTCATTATTATAATATTTGTTAAACAAATAATTTATATCTACGATTAAATAATGTAATATTACAAGTATTTATTTATTTTTTAATTATATTTAAAGATATTTAGAGTTTTATAAAATAATATCGTTAATAAGTAATACATCTTAAAAGAGACGGGCACCATCTTTTGTATGACATCCCTGAGAGAAAAATTCTGTTTCCAATTTTAAAAATTCAAGTTTTTTTTTTTATTCTATATTATTTTAATTTAATATTTACAAAATAATAATTATATATAAAATTGTTAGTCAATTAATTTTGCAATTATTTAATAAATAAAAAGGAAATATACGTTAAAATGTTTATTACTAAATTTAAATAAATAAATTCTCATAGTGTGTATGCATTATCACGCCATCTGATATTGCAATGATTTTAAATAAAGGGGAATTCAATGTCAGAATTTCCTAAATAAACATCTCTCATTGTTTAACTGATTGTTCAATTTGAGTGTTGATTTAACATGATTTTAAATATTATTTTTAAATAAATGGTCAAATTTTAATGAATTAAATTAACATAAATCTTTTAAATGCTAAAGAACAGTTTAAATATCCAATATAAATTTAAGAAAACTAACCTAATGAAATAAATAAATATCATTAAAATAATCAAGTATTTTCCTATAGTCGGAACTATTTTATCATAATTAGTTAGATCAAATTTTTAAAATAAGAGTTAATATATTTATTAAATAATGAACAACGAAGAGAATAGATTAAGAACATTTTTCAATTGGCCTAGCATTGCTCCAGTTAGCGCAGAACGGGTAGCCAAAGCAGGGTTTTATTACACTGGTGTAGGTCTGGAAGTACAATGTTTCTTATGCGGTACTAGAATCACTGAATGGAATTATGGGGATCAAGTTATTGTTCGTCATCGTAATGCTGCACCTGATTGTCCTTTCGTCTTAGATCCATCTAATACTTGTAACGTACCTCTTGTACCAGCATCTAATGACAGTAGAGAATTATTACCATTAAATGCTAGACCAAGAAGTCACTGTAAAACAAATCAGCTAATATCTTCGAGAAGAGAGGAAATTGTTAGAAATTACAGAACCATTAATCAGAGATTAGATACATTTGCCAATTGGCCAATACCTGACATAGTGTCACCTCAGAAACTTGCCAAAGCAGGCTTCTTTTATTTGCAACAAGGGGACATGGTCATTATTTCTATTTTTTATAAAATGCATACATCTTCCTTTAAACCCTTTGCGCTATGATTCATGTTTATATATATACATATTATTTTATATTAACAAATCTAGGTAGTATGTGTTTTCTGTCAAGGTATTGTATACCAATGGGAACCTGGCAATGATCCGAATAGAGAACACAGAATTCACTTTCCCACTTGTGATTTTTATCTGAGATCCGATAGCGGTAATATTTATAATATATTTATAATAACGGTAATATCAAACTATATTATTATATCTTTAAAAAAATCATATCATTTATGTTGTATATTTTCTTCACAGATATAGTTCAATTAGCAAATGTAAGCTTAATTTCTGGTTCTACTACTGATTTTCAAGATTTAGGTATTCAAACCCATACTTCGCCACAAAGTCAAAGTAATTCTTCATATGAAGCTAGATTAAGAACTTATGTTGATTGGCCTACAAGCCATTCACAAACTCCTGAGATATTAGCTGATGCTGGATTTTATTATAGTGGTTAGCATTATATTCTCTTTAGAACAATTCAACTTTTAATACGATAATAATAAGAATAACAATAATATCTTTTATAGGATTCCAGGATCATGTCAGATGTTATTATTGCGACGGTGGTTTGCATCATTGGGAGAATACAGATGACCCATGGATAGAACATGCAAAATGGTTCCCAAGATGTGGTTTTGTTAATCTTATCAAAGGCCAAGAATTTATAAATCAATGCGTTGCAAGCAGACCATCAGCAGATAGAATGGTATGATGTTTGAATTTATCATATTTGCTCTTATTACAGATCATGCACATTATAATAAAATAATTTCCTATTTCACAGATTGAAGGAAGTAGTAATCATGTAAGTAATCATGATATAAAGTTTTGGCAAAATGTAAATGTATGTATTATGAATATTATGTTAACTCTTCTTATTTTTAATTTAATCAAATGTCAACAATATGAGATATGATTATTATGTTTATTTTTTTTTTTTATTTAAAATCACGTATAATAAAATTAAATATTTTTCTGTATTACAGAATCAGTCGGGTATTAATGGAAATGAAACTGAAGAAAATATTGTAACTATTACTGAAAGAATTGGAGATAATACTATAAATATTACTGAAACAACTGAAGGTAATACTGTAATTATAAGTGAAGAAATTGGAAATAATATTGTAATTATTTCTGAAAATCTGAAGTGAATACTGTAGCTGTTACTGAAAGAATTGTTACTGAATATTCTATAGTTATCTCTGAAAAAGGTAAATTTAATATTAGAATTTCTCTTGCAGAAATTAAAATTGAAACATCTACAACTAATGTACCTTACGGAACTGAATCACCTTCTACAACTGAAGAATCTTCTGCAACTGAATCACATTCTGTTACCGAAACAACTTCTGTAACTGAAACACCTTCTGTAACTGAAACACCTTCTGTAACTGAAACACCTTCTGTAACTGAAACACCTTCTGTTTCTGAAACAACTTCTGCAACTGAACCAAATTTTGCAAATATAAACCATGAGTTCTTTGAAGATGTAGTTGATAGAACCATACCAGAACAAGTTAATGTAAAAACTAACTTATTTAATACTCTCGATAATATTATATATTATATAAACAATGAATATTTTCATTTTTATTGTTATAGGCAGCAGTTGAAACTGGTTTACCCAGAGAAGCAATAAGAATTGCTATGGAAAGAATTGATAATATTTTTAGTATGAGAACTGAACTTATGCAAGATCTTATGAAATGTATAGAAGAATATCCTAATAGGTATGTAATAACAACAGCATTCATTATCCGAATGTTTTTTACATTAACATTTATACACTCTTAATCAACACGATTATTAGAGCTAAAAAATTACACTCGAGTAAAGCGGATATAATACAACGTTGTTTGAATTTACAAATAAAATAATCAACAATGAATAAGACTAATAAAAGATCTAACAATGATACAGAAAATAATAATACTTCTTCTACAATAAATAGGGCAAGTGAAACGGAAGAAGATTCAAATTCACCGCAAGCTACTAAAACATCATCTGCTAGTAATGATAAACCAGTAGAAAAGAAAACCAATACTGACCTCAAATCATCGTCAAGTAAGTTATATATTAATGATATAAGAATATAAGAAAATAATCGAATAGTTCAGAGATTTTTATTTCAACTTTTTATAGTTTCGTTGGAAGAGGAAAATAGAAAACTGAAAGAAGCTCGTGTATGCAAAGTTTGTATGGACCATGAAATAGCTGTTGTATTTTTGCCATGTGGTCATTTAGCAACATGTGTCCATTGTGCGCTTTCTCTTACATGTTGTCCAATATGTAGGAAAGAAATACGTGCTACCGTTCGTACATTTCTTTCTTAAATCTCCGATAGCAATACGCGCGCAAAATAAAGATTTTAATAGATATTAATTTAAATTTCGCTTATAAATTCAATCATGACTTCTCTTATCTTTAATGGATTCTTGTCTGTCTGATCACATTATCAGTGCATGTGCTCAGACTTTTCCTTCGCTTTTGTTGATATTTCATCACGTTGTATTTTTATCTTCATATACAAAGAATTTATACAAATACTTACATTCCTCGTTTTAATTATAAGAGATCTAGATAATTAATTTAAAAAGAGACAATAATCAATGAAAATAAATATATATGATATTAAAAATAAATTATATACGAATTAATTATAAATCATGTTTCATCTATTGAATCGACTATAAATTTAAACCTTGCATTGCTAATTTATAAATTTAAAAAATCGTTTCTTTTATATAACACTATTAATAATAATAATAATCGTCATCGCGTCATTATACTACAGGACTTTGGACCAAAACTGGATTATGACTTGAAATTGGATCTTCATTTCCACAGGTTTTTACTGACCATTGAGTTATGAACCCTAAACCTTTCGGTCAACAACCTTTTCTCAAATGCCTATTCACCTAGAATGAAAGTCTATTCTTCTCTCGGACGACCGCGCTTTTCTTAGAAAATCATTTTTAAGAATAGGAAAGAAACGTCCGTGAAACTGAATGGATTATTCCCAAAAACTTGTACAAGAAAGTCAACGAAAACATGAATGACTTAAGGATTATCCTATAATTACAAATTTGTGCTGTTATATTCATTCTTGCAGGTGAGAAAAAGGAAGAGAGAGAAAGAGAGTTAAGCAAAGTAAAGCAATAGTAGTAAAAAGATAGTATCGGATCTGGCAACGTTGTAAACTGAATGTTATGGAAAAAGTAGTATACTATCAGAAATATTCCATCCTTCTTTCTCTTTATTCAAATTTTCATTATTAAATCATGTAATCCGCAAAAACGATAATAATCTTAGCGGATAATAAAATAAAAAATAAACGAAAACAAATTGTTAAATAAAAAAATAGGAATTCTAAGAAGAATAGACAAAATTTTTATAAAGGAAGAAAATAAAAGAAGAATAGACAAAAGGTTTAGAAAGGAAGAAAATAAAAAAAGAATAGACAAAATGTTTAGAAAGGAAGAAAATAAAAGAGAAAGATAAAGAAACGAAAAATATCAATAGAAAGAAAAAGCAGATGGCATTATTTCCACTTTTATAGTAAGGTCCATATGTACGAAGTGGGATTTCATCGGGTTCTTCGAAATGAACAACAAGCCATCTAGCAGCAGCCATTGATGTCTTAACGCGCAGCTGCTTTCGTAACAGAACACCCATATGGAAGAAGGTTGAAAGTATATATATATAATACAAGCCATCAAGAATGGTTCTGTAGGAATGTGGGTCTGATTGGTTGAAACATCTGGCTGCTGCCTTTCTTGCTGATATCAAACATATTTTCTTTATTGATAGAAAGAAAGGATATTTTATTAATAAATTTGATGCTTAACAAAGAAAGAAAGATAAATAAAAAGATTAAAAATAATTAGAAAGAAATAATATAAAATAAGATAAATGATAAAATAATAAAACATTGGCGTAATCTATAAATGACCATGAAACATCTGCGTCATCTATACTGGTCAATGAAATCGACCAAATCTTTTGGAAAGGACAGATTGTAAAGTATGAGTTATCTGAAAAAAAAAACAAAAAAAAATGGCTACGTTACAAAGATTGTAACATGTGTAATATTTGTAAAGAGATAAAGAAAGAGAAAAGGAGAGAAGAAGAGAGAGAGAGAGAGAGAGAGAGAGAGAGAGAGAGAGTATGAAAAGTGGGGATAGGCGGAACAAGCTTAACGTCCCTCTCGTCCCTATACCGTCCCTTATCCATTCTCGGTGTGACTGTACTATACGTAACTTCCTCTTCAAGTAATTTTCCCTCGTTTCTGATATTAATGGTACGTTTTACTTATTCTTACTACTTACTATATCTTTAGATTTCATTGATCAAATCTATATCCTACAAAAGAGTGTAGGTGTGACTATGCGTTATCATTTTTGAAGATTATTGGTTCGTAGTAACAGAAATAGAGAGAGAGAGGGAGAAAGAGAGAGAGAGAGAGAATGAGTGAGTGAGTGAGAGACAGAAGGAGAAGGAAAGAGAATGTGGCTGTTTTCGTGTAGTATCGACGCATAGTCGACGGATTCTCGACTTTATATAAACAACGCTTTGAAAACACGCTCTTTATTAAACGTATTTAAGTTTTAAGTATTAAAAAAAGATATATATTTAATAAATAATGTGAATAAAGGAAGCTGAGGATTCATAAAAAAAAGATCTTGACGTATGTATTGCTTTTGTTTCTAATTTCATGACGACGACGACGACGACGACGACGACACGCATACGAATTACGTTCTTTTCACGAGAATCGATCGTGTTTTGTCTTCTTTATTTTCTACTTTATTCTTTGTTGCACAATATTATATAAATTTTAGATATATATTTAATATCATATATATATATCCGTAGAATTTTCTCTTATTTAATTTTGCTATTCATAGATCCTGTTGGCAAGCGCGTCCGAGATTTGCTTTCCTTTTATGTTTTTTAAGTATTTTATTTACGTTCCATATGTCGCATTCATAGCAAGGACGTTGAATTCTCGTTTTTATTTTTATTTCAATTTTTCTTAATATTTGTACCTTTTTGGGAACATCGTTTTTTGGACACATTTAGAAGGGATTCTTCTCAAGAGTTTAATTCGTTTACCCGCCCTTATTCAAATTCGAATTTTTTATTTGTCACATTTTTCTTTTTAACGTGTATTAATAATAATATGAATTTATTTACCTAACACATACAACAAACGCGTTGTTTTAAGGCATTATTTTTTTTTATTTTATTAATTACTATTTATTGAGAAATTGGTGCAGTAAATTATTTGAATAAAAACGTTTAACAAAATTATTTTCTTTTTCTTTCTTTGTCATTTGATCATTGTTTATATCGATATAAGAGTTCAGTAATCAATATGATCACGTGATCTATATATTGAATATCGAAGTACCAAGACGATTAATTTATACGTCGAGTTTTTAAATGAATTTTGAACGATCCTAATTTAAACATAAAAATACAATTCAGTTGTATAATATTTGAATAGCGATAACATTTAATCGAAAAATAAAAAAGACTAAACATCTTGGTGATTATGAAATCCGGCCTTATGTCCATGTATTTCGAAATATTTCGAATTTCAAAAATATCTGTATACAATACTGGCAAGTTTTTACTAGAAAATATTTAATAATTGTAATAATTTATGTCTAACGTTTAAGGAAACATAATTTTAGACAGTTATGTTAAATTTCTTGACTTACATCCGCCAACTTTTATAATTCCCGGTGCAAATATGGGCGGCGGTAGGTTGAAAAGTTACGAGCCTCAAGAAATGGCAAATTTTTGTTTCTATCTTAAATAAAAGGTTTTTGACTGAAAAAAGAAAAAAGAAAAGAAAAGGAAAACGTATAGCACAAACTATTAAGTTTTTTCTTTTTAATTGAAAATTTGAAAACATGGAGAAAATAAAATCGTTTCTATGTGTTAGGCTAGGAGCCCTACCCTTCTCTGCCCACCCACGAACATTGAAGGTCGTATCTGACGAATTTAATGAATTAAAATGGGCAAAGAAAAAACTAGTTTTTCTCTCTTTAACGTAGTAGTTCATTCTTAAAGAAAAATTTTAAAAAGAGAGAGAAAGGGGGGGAAAAAAGAAATTTCAGGTAGTATTTTCATAGAGAAAATACTTGAAGAGGCGGATGTAATGATGGCCTCTCTCCTCTCTCATGTTGCCTCCACAGTTCTTTGACTAACTTCCGTTACACTCCCACACTTGAAGGCAATGTTGCCACATGTTCGACGGAATAATCATGAATGGAAAGAGTGACAAAGAAAGAGAGAACGAACAAGGACCATCGAACACATGGAAACATTTCAAACGAACATACTTTCTATTCCTTTTTTTTCGTATAACAATGGCTTTGTAATATACAATGGACAGTTTTTTTTATTGTTTTATATTTTCAAAGAAAAACGGCGCTATCCAAGTTTATCTAATCTTTCCTGGATAAGTTTATTTACAAAGATTTGAATTGGCTTGTATCGATACCGCCTTATCAATTTAAGATGAATTTGATAATCGTTTGATCTTGTTTAATTGTTTTCTTTTTTTTTTTTTTCTTTCACTTTCCACGAATAACAATTTCCTGTGCACGATGGTTTGTGTTATATTATCCATGTACATAAAAAGTATAACGTCATTTCTCTTTCTCGCTCGCTCACTCACTCTGTTTATAATATCCTGTCTTAGTTTTTATCTCACCACACAGGAATTTACAACATCAAGCAAAAGAGAGAGAGAGAGAGAGAGAGAGAGAGAGAGAGAGAGAGAGAGAGAGAGGGAAAGAGAGAAAGAGAATATTTTTGCTTGAGTCACGACTGAATATTTCTCTTTCAAACTCTTCTCGAATGAACTTTGCGCTAAAAAATAACTACTGTTAAAAGTACAATATTTATCGCATGTATACAGTTTTTATATCTTTTTATCTTTATAAACACTGCAGTTATTCTCCCATTTGGGTAAAAAATCATAAACTCAGAGTTCAACGTTGTCATTTACGTAAATAAGTTTTTAGAACATTTTACACATGATATTTATAGGGAATATATTAAGAGTCTAGTTTTTTAGAGTATTTCCCAATGCACAAACTGCAATGCAATATTTAATTAACATTTGTAAGTTGATTTAAATAGTTTTTTCTTTCTCTTTTTTTTTTATTTAAATACAAAGACAATTGAATTATTTTAAATAATATAATATAAAATTTTTACTCCAAAGTAGATTATGTTTTTTTTTTAATTTGTTCTACATTCTGTCATATAAATTTGAATTAATTTAAAAATATTAATCCAATGTCCGTATTTTCATTCCAATGGATGTGCACGCTCAAAGTAAGGTCTCACAATGAAGGAATGTGGAACGGTTCTTGAACGTGGCAACGTTGTACGCTTCTCAGGGTTTCATACACGTATGAAGAAGATGATAACGCAGCTTTATTTCTTTTAAATGTTATTTGAATACATTGAGAAAAGATAAGATAAAATATGATAAATAAATAAATAAATCGTTAACATTAATTTTAGCGTGGCATAATTAATAATTGAGCGAATATTTTTTATACTTGTTTTAATTTTTTCCTTTTTCTGAATGAAATATCATGAACTGAGAGATTCAGCGCCTCCAATTGAATAAGTTTTAGAACATTTTTCTATTGACTATTTATGGGATATATCGAATCTATCCTGATATTTATGGGGGGGGGGAGGAGAGTGGCTATTTTTTATTCAATGTATACTATTGTATAAGTTTCTAGGCGCCAAGGCGCCATTATTGTTGTGTGTGGTTCGGAGGTTTGACTATAGGCAGGCATCAAGCCCCCCCAGCCCCATATCCTCTATTCTTGCTTAAAATGTAACTTTATATTCACACATATATTCTTTACTGGTATAAAAAACACTCACACAACTACTAACAACTCGGAACGTTCTATAAGAAAATAGTAAAGGGAAAAAAAAGAGAAAGATAGATCGATAATGCATTGGCGTAGGTAGTAGGTATATACGGTTCTCAACATTTCTCTTCATTCACCATTCTTGACCGTGAAATTTTAAGCGCGTTTTCATCGTAAATTTCAAATTACGATTATGCCATTAAAATCTTATTTGTGTAATTTGGGAAGGTTCAAAGACGAAACAAGATGTACCATCGAACGTATTTCCCTATAATCATCTCCTCTTTTCATTTAACATGTTTATTTATAAATTAATTTAGACAATTGCATTATTTTTTAACGATGCAATCAATGAATTATTTGATTGTGTATATCGAAACAAAGGATCGCATTTATTGTCCTGAATTAAATATTAAAAAAATAAATTACGAAGAGAGACGCGAGAATATTTTTTTTAAATAAAAGAAATATTGTAGAAAGTTTCCTAGGAAAAAGAGATACAATGCCAAGAATTTGAGAAATTTGTTCAGGTATCAAAAAGTAGATCGTAAAATCGGTATGGGTCTGAAGGGAAAGTTTGGTTGAAAAGGGACAGTCGAAGGGAAGGGCAAGGAATGCAGCATTCCTATTGATAAAAGAAGGGGGAAGGGCTCTGGGGCTAGGGAAAGAGGGGGTAGTAGTCTCGTCTGTTACTGGCGTCATTCAGTTTTCGAGAAGCTTTTGCAGGGACAAGTTCAGCGTCCTCTCTTGATTGTAGCAATATTGTATATATATTTGTATATATAGTTTTTTGTTTAATAAACGTGCATTCTCATTGTGCTGCTAGTGTATTGAAGAAAACAAATTCAACTCACGATATTAGTGCTAATTCTATTATCGATTAACATTCGAATTAGCATCTCTGATCATCTTGTGGTTTTTTCCATTACAGACTTAAATTAAAAAAGCTAAAGAAAGTTTTAAGAAGAGAAGCAAAAAGAAGAAGTGTTAATAATAATAATATAAAAATGACAGACATTATTGAAAATTTACAACAAACTCTGAAGGATTCTAATATCGTTGGTTTATCTCCATCATCGACCTTCAAACCTATAGATGAAGTAGATAATGCAGGTTATCGTTTTGAATCCGAGAGATTAAAAAGTTTCTGTAACTGGCCCGTGTCCTATGTTAAACCTGAGAAGCTAGCCGAGGCTGGCTTTTATTATCTTGGCGAAGGAGACAGAGTTAAATGTTTTGAATGTAACATAGAGATATGTCAATGGGCAGAAAACGATGATCCGATGGAAGATCATGAACGTTGGTCGAATAGATGCAGATTTATTAAGAAACAACCTTGTGGAAATATTCCGTTAGGAGCTGATCCAAATACTATACCACAATTAAGGGGTAGCATAGATGTTTGTGGAATATATCACCATAATGCCGACAATGATATTCTAACAAAGGAGTTACAACTCTTAAGTACTGCTAAGTTACATGCAATGGGTTTAGGACGTATGAAGGGACCAACGCATCCTGACTATGCCAGTTACGATGCGAGATTAGAATCATTCGATTCTTGGCCAAGAGCAATGCCCCATTCGAAAGAACTTCTAGCCCAGGCTGGATATTATTACACCGGAAATGGTGATCAAACTCTTTGCTACCATTGTGGAGGAGGATTAAAAGATTGGGAATCTGGGGATGATCCATGGGAGGAACACGCCAAATGGTTTCCCCAGTGTACCTATCTGCTAATGGTAAAAGGAAAAGAATATGTAAACAAGGTTACGGGTCAACTCATGTCACCTATTTCTCCTGAGGTAATTAATTATAATAATATTTTAACAAAATTAGAAATCATTTCTATTTAAGACTCGATTATTAATATTATCTCGTTTCTTTGATATTTTTCCAGGAGACGCTGCATATGAACTTACCCAGTTTTGTTAAAACAATCGAACCATTATCATCATCACTTGAACGTAGTCAGAGTATTCAAGCGGAGAATGCACCTGGACCGAGTAAAGCCGTTGAGATGAAAGGTTCATCTACATCTGCAGAAGTGAAGGAATGTAAAGATTTAAACATTTCTGAAGCACACTGTAACAAATCTGATGATGCTAGACTGTGTAAGATTTGTTACAACGAAGAGTTAGGTGTTGTTTTCTTACCTTGTGGACATATGGTTGCCTGCGTTGATTGCGCTCCAGAAATGACTATTTGTGCTGTGTGTAGAAATCACGTAGCTATGAAAGTTAGGGCCTTCCTTTCTTAAATTTCTGTGCATACATTCAATAAAATAAATAAATGTTATTATTCATTGAATATTGTTCATTGAATAGTTTACATTTAATATGTATTATGTATTCTGCAATATGTGGTCATCTGCTACAAAGAAACATCTTTATATTGCAATATTATAAAAAGAGAAATTCTCTATCTCTCTCTTTCTTTATTTTTTCTTTTTGTTAAGCTTATTTTTTCTTTCACACGACATATACAATTTCAAGTAGCAGAATAAATTCCATTTTATTTTGCTAAATGTGTTTAACGGAAAAAGAAGAACTATTAATGTATATTTATTGCATTTTACATTTCTCTCAGCTCGATTGACGCACTTATTCGCACATCCCTGCCTTATGTGAATAGTTTATAAAAATCATACAGAATTGTTGTAACAAAATCACTAGTTTGTAATATTTATGTAAAGTATATTAGATATTTTACAATTTCTAGCGTTATATATATATATATAAAAACTGTAGAAATACATAAATAATAGATGATCTCAAACGAAAAATTGCAAATTGTAGAGAAAAAAAAAACGCCAAATAAAAAATTTGTGTAATCTCTTTGACGCGCGCGGTTGAAATTAGGAATATATTTGGAAAATTTACATTAAAATACATTGTATTATATGCATAGTCGTGATATTAATTAATATATTTCCTTCAAATTAATATTCAAATTATTATCATTATTATCATCATCATCATCATCGTCGTCGTCGTCGCCACTTAAATGTGATACAACAAACAAACGTATCGTCGTACCAAGAGCTTGTAATTATATTTTATATGATCGGATACGTATTATGGATGATTGTTAGGTTTAAAAATTAATAAATTTTAGGAATTCAATTAAAACTTGTATACATTTTTTCTCTTGACTCCTCTTATTTCCTTATATGCCCCAATACAATTCCACAATTAACACAGTTAAGTGCCAAGCCTCTTTCCTTGAGCTTTCTATTTAAGGTATGATGATTTGTTAACTGATTGTTATTAATGACCAATGTGACTTGGATGGAAAGTCTAAAATATAAGGTTGATCTGTAAGGACAGGCATGGGAATTAACTATATCGAATGCTACTTTTCTGTAATAATTCTATGGGATTGCAGTATTTTGGGTGCTGTCATTCAGGACTCGCATAATATAAGTAAAATACATAGTCTTTATTAGGTGTATAACGGCAATATAAAGTTCACTAGGTGTCATTAATATATATATATATATATAT